TGTGTTTATATAGTGTATATATGTACATATGTACGCTCCACCCACATAGCATTAACGCATATTTATGCTGCGGCTTGCTTAAGTTTTTCCATTCATTTTCAGGATAACACGTATAGATACCATGGGAAAATATTTCTTAAAAATCATTAACAACAACAACAACATCAACAACAACACCAAAAACAACAACAACATCAACTACAACACCAAAAACAACAACATCATCAACAACAACAACATCAACAAAATCAACAACAACATCATCGTCAACAAAACAGGCGTAATGTATGCTACTTGGCGCGAGATTGTACAAGCATGAGCACATTACGACATTCAACATTTTTTCCCACCTCGTTTCCTTGAGGACAACATAGATATCTAAACTTCATTACAAAGATAACTAAATGAAAAATTGAATAAAGAATCGTACTATCGCAAAAAACAACAACATCGTCTTCGTCATCATCAAAGATAAAACAACAATGACATAACGGATAAAACAAAACGAATAAAAATTTTTAGGTTGCTCTGACAAATTCTACCCGTCCAATTACCATGTTCACAGCTGGCCGGATCTTGAGAACCGCTATTCGGCCGAATATAAATCCTTCCACATTGCCTTCCCCACCACTACGACCTCATCACCGCCACCACAAGCACTTGAAGCACTCGCCACAGCATCAAAAAAGACATCAACGTCATCGGCAGCAGCAACATGACACAACTCAATCGACACCAATACATCAACAACACCAACAGCACCATCACCAACCGGCAAAATATCACATAGCCGATCCCTTTCAAACTCGTAAAAAACCGGCGAGACCGAATTCAACCGCCGACTACTACTACACTGGTCGCAGCGAGGATGACTACAGCGGCAGTAGCGTCGCTAGCTGCAGTAGTAACAACTCGGATACCGAAACCGACAAAATAAAATGTTACATTCCTTTCATTTGGCAAGCTTTAGCCGCTACACTAATCGGTTTAGTTGTCATTTTAATCGGTATAGCGATGTGCATTGTCGGTTACGAAGCCGATAGTCTGGTATTGAGATCGGAATTGGTTGCTACGGATAGAGGGGAGTCTACAAACGCAGGAAAGAATGTAATTAAAGATGAACATCAATCACTCAATGGAAGTTTTATGCATACTTCCCTTCAAAACCACGGCGAAACAACATCATCAACAACTACATCATCAACAACAACCACAACAGCATCATCGTTAACAACAACAGCATCAACAACAACATCAACAACAACAACATCAGCAACAGTATCAACAACAACATCATCAACAACAACAGCATCAACAACACCAACAACAAACCTTATAACAAAAATTACAACAACGCTAACAACTGACGACATTCTATCACATTCAGAAAGGCCAACATCTTATGCAATCAATGCTAGCAGTGACGTTAATGCTGACATTAACAGAACCACTGACAACAACTTTGGTAAAAGTATCACGGACATTTCAAACAAAAACATCATCAAAAACATCATCAACAACAACATCATTATGATTAAAAACAACAACAACAATATCAACATCAACAACAACAACAACATCATTATGATTAAAAACAACAACCACAACAATAATATCAACAACACAACAGCAGCAACGGCAGCAACTTCACTGGCTGCAAAGCTTCGCTATTTAATATACATCGGCCCCATCCTAATGAGCTGCGGTAGCTTCGCCATCGTCTTCTCTTGCGTCATCGTCTGCGAGACACGTGACCGAGTTCTAGAACTTTTCAAGAAGAAATCAAAAATGTTTGCCGCCATGGCCACCAACAGTTGCGACGGTTGCAGTGGTAACAACAACAACAGCAGCAACAACAACAACCACATCAGCAGCAACAACAACAACCACAACAACAGCAACAGCAGCAACAACAACCACAACAACAGCAGCAGCAACAACAACCACAACAACAACAATGACCACAACAACCACAACAACAACGACCAAAACAACAACAACAACGACGACAACAACAACAACAACAATAATAATAATAATAATGACGACGCTGGAGTTAATGGAAATTTGGACGAAATTAATGCTTACAATCGATCGAACAAGACTGGACATCATTATCATCATCATCCTGGTAATCATCATCATTACCATCATCATCAAGATCATCATCATAATGACTTAATTGAGAATGGTTATCATGATGGCTCTAATGGTTATCATCATCATCTCAACAGTCATCGTCATCATCATGATCGTCTTAGTAATTCCAAGAATGATGATGATGGTGAAGATGGTGAAGATCATCATCTTCATCATCATCATCTCTCTTTTTCTCACAATCTCTCCTCCATATCTCTTCGACATCATCCTTATCTGAGCATGACACAACCACATCAGGCCAACAACAACAACAACAAAAACAACAACAACAACAGCAACAACAACAACAACAACAGCAACAACAATAATTATAATAATAATAACATTAATAATAATAATAACATTAATTATAATAACAACAACAGCCTAATATATAACATACATCGTACCATAAGCAACAACAACAATGCTCCTCTTAACGTGTCAAGTAGAGAATTTGCACACGTAAATAATGAAAGCAATAAAACAAACGAACAAACATCAAAACGACAACAACGACATTGTTATCAACAACGACAAAAACAGCATCAACAACAAAAATATCAGCAGCAACAACAACAAAAACAATCTCAACAACAACAATCTCAACCTCAACAACAACAATCTCAACCTCAACAACAACAACAATCTCAACCTCAACAACAACAACAACAACAAAACTTCATCACAATAGATGAGAAACAACTACGGAGATCTTCTTTCGTAGTTCTTAACAAGCTGCAGATAGAGACATTAACAACTACCCTCATTGAAAAACAATGCATACACTACAAGACAACAACGACGCCCCTATCCAAATCGTTTATGAAGAAATTTTTCATTTAATTAGTTTATTATTAATTAGTTATTTAATTAATCTTTTTAATAATTAATTAAATGATTTGTTGATTTATTCATTTTTTATAATTTTTAATTTTTTACCATTATAGTGAACAGGGTTATTTTAAAAATATCATTTAGTTTTATTTATTGTGTATGTGTATGTGCGTGCGTGCGTGTGTGTGTTAATGTGTGTATGTGTATTAATGTGTGTGTGTCTGTGTGTGTGTAAAAAGAGAAATTTGATCTTATTTACAGTATGTAAGGTTTGAGAGAGAAAGAGAGAGTGGAAGAAAGAGAGATAGGATGGAGAAGAGAAAAAGTGAGAAAAATAATTGTATTTATTTGTGTGTCTCTGTCTGTCTGCCTGTCTGTCTGTCTCTCTGTCTCTCTTTCTCTCTCTCTCTCTCTCTCTTTCTCTCTCTTTCTCTGTGTGTATGTGTGTGTGTAGATTGAAAAATTTGGCATTGAGTGCAGGTTTTTGTGTTTGTACTCGGTTTTTGTTTCTATTAAATATAAATCGATATATCGAACGGATCGTATCGATTTATCGATCGGTATTTATCGATCGGTTATTCTAGAATGGTGTTCAAACGATAATTAACATCACCATCACTATTATCTCTATTATCGTCGTCGTCATCATCATCACATTGATCATGAATTACCAACTTCATATATGTATGTATATTATCAATTACATTATATTTGTATGCGTGTGTGTGTGTGTGTGTGTGTGAATGTATGCGTGTGTGTGTGCGTGCGTGTGTGTGTGTGTGCGTGTGCGTGCGTAAGTGTCTTCAAATACGTACATCGCCATAAAAGTTTTGAATAAAGATGGATGAAGATGATTTGAAAAATAATTCGCTATGAAAAGATTTATAGTCCAGCTATATCAAAAAGAAGGATATATATCATTTAAGTTTAAGATATCATGTTACCAAAAAAAATTGGTATCCCATCTGACAAACAAACCTCAATTTTGCATACAATACAATTATACTTTGTATGTTCAAAAGAAAATAAAATACTCTTAACATAAATAAAATAATTGACTACATTAACTTTATGATATAATGTTTATAGTATAGATATATAGGTATGAATATTAAAAAATCATGTGTGTTTGTGTGTGTGGTGTATGTGTGTGCGTGTGTGTGTGTTAGTGTGTATTTAACAATAATATAACATAATTATAATATCGTAGAACAGCCTATGGAAAAGCCGTTATGTTTCAACTAACCTAGAGAATGAATGTGGAAAAATAAACCTGGTGAATGTTTTATACAAGCAAAACATTGTATACATACAAAATTTTGTTTATATGCAAATCATTGTATGCCTAAAAAACTCTGTATACATACAAACCTATATTTTGTAGTACTACTACAAAAAAAAAACAAATAAATTCACACATTTTATTCAAATTAAAAAAATATATAACAAACATCGTTACAAATAATGGAAAAATTAAGAAAAAACTTTAAAGGGTTTTTTCTTAAAAACTGCCCAAATACGTCCAAATACCAAATACGCTAAATAAAAGCACAAATAATCACTGATACTCGCACAGGCACAGTCTGAAATCCATTCGCAAGGATAGGCTAGGCAAATCTTGAAACATAAGTACTACTCGAGTACATACAATCTAATTTATTCAATTATCGTACTCCGTACAAATATTGGATGGGGTATTAATACACACACAAACACACCACACACACACACGCACACATACCACAAACACGCACACAACATCTATATAGTTGTACAAATACGCCTAAATGATATTTATACACACATACAAATACAATAGGCAAATAGCAATACCTGCCTAGAAAATATATACGTATTAATACATTGTATATAGACGGGAAATTGCATTTGAAACCTGAATGAGTTATGTAATGTAAGAAATATCACATGACTCCTAGCGTGACGTCATTTTAAAGTCATCATCCAAACACACACACACAAACATACACACACCCACAAACACACACAGTATAGATGGGCATATAGATGCGAAACTTCAAGCGTGTATGTGCGTATTCGTGCGTGTGTATATTATTGTATGTTTAGTAGTGAGGGTCGGGAAGAATACAAATGATCATGTCGTGTGGAGTTACGTGCGTATGAATGTTTATTTTTGTGTTTCTGTTTGTCTGCGTTTCTAAGTTTAGTATGTTTTTGTATGTTTTTGTATGTTTTTTATGTTTTTGTATATTTTAGTATGTTCTTGTATGTTTTTGTATGTTTTTGTATGTTTTTATGTGTTATATGTTATATTTGTATGGGTTTTGTTTGTGTTTTGCTTATAGTTATGCTTCACTAAAGTTAACTTGTGTTGTATTTGGGTGGGTATGTTTCATTTTTCGTTTATTACTAAGATTTTTGTTCAAAATTTAGATGTTTTATTAGTTTTTTTTGTTCTTAAGTTGAACATTTAATGTTTCTATGGTTGAGAATTTTGAAATTTTGTTTATTCTGTTAAATTTCTCATTTCAATGAAATCCTTGTTGTTGATATTATGCTGGATTATTTTGCAAGATTGAATTTAAGTACAATAAAATTTGTTATTATTTTCACACATAAACACACACATGTTACATACATACACACCCGTATACACACACAAATAAACACACACACAAACACACACAAACAGACACACAGACATATAAACAGAGGTTAATCTTTTTATATTTTGCAGTTTTCTTTTAAAATAGTCTTTCCGAGGCTTGACACTTATAATTCCTCTTGCATTCACATTTTGCCGAATTCAACTGTGCTGTTACTTTTTACACAGCAAATATGTGTGTGTGTGTTTGTGTGTGTTTGTGTGTGTGTGTGTGTACGTGTGTGCGTGTCTCATAGGTGCAGACAGCCAACGAGAGAGGGAGCCTGTGAAACTGAGGTGGCTCCCACAATAAATAATTTTTTTAGAGTCAATTTTTGAATTTTACAAAATCTCTGTTGGAATTTTTATTTCTTAGAAATTTCTTTTGTTAGAAAATGTGTATGTGTGTTTGTGTTTGTGTGTGTGTGTGATGTATGTGTGTTAGTGTGTAGTAGTAATAGTAGTAGTGGTAGTGGTAGTAGTAGTAGTAGTAGTGGTAGTAGAGGTGGTGGTAGTGGTAGTAGTAGTAGTGGTAGTAGTGGTGGTAGTGGTGGTAGTAGTGGTAGTAGTAGTAGTAGTAGTGGTAATAGTAGTGGTAACAGTATTTTTCTGACCCTTGACCCTGACGATGAAGTTGCTGGGCAGAATTATTTATTTTGGAGTAATTGAAAAAAAACTAAAAAAAGAAAAAACTGCCCGGAGTGAATGAATGAATGAATGATA